TGCGACAATGTTAAAAAAGGCCAAGTTTCGGTAGATGGTCTGAAAGAGGTTATCAGTCTGTGTAGCACGAATGACTATCAGTTGCCTCACAATATTGGCATTTTGTTGCTCAAATGCTGCGGCAATCTACTGCACGAATTAGAAACAACGGAAAGGAATCATCTAGTGAGCCAGGTAAGACATAATTTATTTTTTAATACCTAGAAATACAATTGTGAGTATATAGCGAATCCCAGATAATGAAATCTGTCAAGAACACATATTTCAAACTGTGTTGCACATTATATAAAAGTCTAGCTGAACACAATTCATTGTTTTTCTATTGATAAAAATGTATTAGAAAACGAGCACACAGAGGCTCTGTGTTGTAACATTATGATGACAAGAAATGTTCCATTCCTGCTACATTTATGTTGTTATATTATGACTGACAAGTTTTAATGACAAAAAATTAAGCTTAAAAAGGACATTGTTAGGTGAATAGGATTCTGTTAAAAAATCATGATCAAATTTGCTGGTAACTACTGGCATATAGCTAGCACTGCCTAAAGTATTATAAACAAAAAAACATTATATAAACAAAAAAAAAGAAATAGTAACAGTAATATCTATATATTCTAATTGAAACAAAACAAAGGATCAATCAAATAAGTTATTTTCATTTGTAGGTATGGCATTTGGCAAAGAAGAATAGTGGAACAATTACTTTGGAATATTACAACACTTTGCTAGATGTTAATGAAGAGAACTCTTTGTCTGTGAATCCCAAAAAGTTTTTAGCAGACATGAATGTGGAGCCAGATGAAAATACTTATCGCTTGTTATTGAATATAGCCATAAAGACGAGTAATAGTGAACACCTGTGGGATATCTTATCTGTTACAAAGGATAAGAGTGTAACCATCTACGAGGAGGCGGTCAATGTGTTAATACAGATTTACATGACAGAGAATAATATCGCCAAAGCCGAACAAATGATAACACAAATGCGGGAGGCTAAACTATCCCCAACCAAGGCATATACCGAGCTGGCATGTGGATATGCGAGAATTGGCGATATTCCGAATTTAATCAAGATATTAAACGAAGAACCACAGAACAATGCAAATCTTTTGAGGATAATAAAGATTCTGAGCATATCCAACAATAGCAGGCATATCCCGTTTATTTTGAATTTTTTAATAACTTCTGTACCGGCGCTTCAGACTGAGATCTCCAAGATGATCACAGAATTAATACATGCCAATCAAGTTGCGGACGCTCACACTATCATAAATTGTATCGCGATGAACAATGCAATGAAGGAGATTGTGCCGAGTTTTGTAAATAGTTTCATGAACGAATTAATAATATTAAACGCGCCGATTGACGATATCGTTAAGTACGCAGACGATTTTGTTGAATCCAATTGTAACCAACAAACATTATTTGATGTAGCGGAGATTGGTTTGAAGTTGGGTAGAGAGAAATTATGTCTTGCGATATTCCAGGTGATGAAACATAAGAATATAGAGATACGACCGCATTATTATTGGCCTTTACTGATAAAAGCATATAATAACAAGGGGGAGGCTGAGATATATTCACTCGTGAAATCTATGGTGGATGCTGGTCTAAAAATAGATTCCGACACACTGATTCATTACATATATCCATATGTAAATACTAACAATCCGACTGTCACTTTACAGAAACTATTACAGAATAACGTACCGAGTGCTATCACATTTACGCCTTTATTGTCTTTTCTGCTGCAACAAAATCGGCTGCAGGATATAGTGCCACTGTGCATGTCCCTATGCTATAAGGAATTGATATATTATAAGGAACTGATAAAACCACTAGTACGCGCTTATGTTGTCACTAAAGATTTCAAAAATTGTATTGCTTTATTGACAGCATTTCCACAAGGTTTTGCCGGTCTGTTTTTGAAAAAATTGATAAAAGTCAAATATCCAATTTATATAGAGGATCTACAGTTTCTCCTGGAAGAATTAAAAACACGTGAGGTAAAGATATCACAAATAGATGCAAATATTCTCAAGAACGGACTAAAAAAAAATGAAAATTTTAATCTCACTCCAAAGGTGATGAATCTAATAGAAAATTTAGTTGATCCTTCTATAATAGATTTGCAGATCATGTCACCGAGGTACATGAACACTAAAGAATTAACATATTACTTAGTGGAAATGAAGAAATCCACTGATTCCATCTACAAAGCCTATATTAAGAATATTTTGCAGAAATTGCTGATTTTATGTTGTTTAGAAAACGATTTAAAAAAAATTGAAGAGATAAAACAAGAATATGCATGCCAGTTTGAATGGACACCTAGGCTAAAGTTGCTTTTATTTGAATTGTATCTCAATAACAACAAATTGAACGAAGCTGAAGCACTGCTACCCGAATTGCAAATTACACCTAATGAATTCCAGTTGAACAGAATCAAAATCGTAATGTACGCCACCGCATTAGTGAAGGAAAATAAACCCACAAAGGCTTTTGATATTATCGATACACTCAACACCACTGATTTTAAAGCAAACGCGCAAGCACATTGTTGTACACTTCTGCAAGTTCTAGCACAGAGTCAGTATTATAAGCATACGAAGGATATGTTAGATTTGCTTCTAAAAAAAAATTACTGTCAAGTAACTACGGAACTGCTAAAACCACTAATGGCGATATCATTAAAACACAACAATATCTTAGAAACCGTGGATATACTTGAAAAATACGCGCAAAAATTTAACAAGGTACCTTTGGTATTGGAAGTATTGACAGTATTGTTGGAGCAAAAATACAATTCAAAATTGCAAAATGCGAATAACTGGATAGAAAAAGTGTATAATATAATAAGTACTGCTCATTCCAATCAAACAGCAAACACGATACTGGCGATAGCATTAGGAACGTTGGACGAAACAAAAAAATTACAAATTTTATTACAGGTAACCGAAACATTTTTTATTGCGGCATTTAGTTTATATTTCTGATTTGCAATTACAGATTTTAATTACAGAACTGATTTAGTTTTACATATTCTGAATTTGAGTAATAATTAATTTTATTGATTTCATCTCTTGATTTACATTTCTTTTCATCAAATCTTTCTAATCTTTCTATTACAGGATCACCAAATCTCCATGAATTGTCTTATGTATTATCTTAGTAACATAGAAAGTAACAGAAGTATAGATGGCTTGCAAAATATTCTTAAAGTAACTGATGCAAATCATGTGAATCAAAATATGATGTGTGAAGCGCTCCTTTCTATTTATAGTAAGCTATATTCTCTGTACATTTTAAAGTTTAGTAAATGCCAGTATGAGCCAACACAGGATATTCGTATGTGATACAATCAATTCTTTTTTATTAATCAGAAGTGATAAACGTTTCGATCTTTGTTTCGGGTCCTCTTAGTACATAAAATAATGATAAACAATAGTTAGCCGTAGAATCACGAAGACTATCCAATATTACCCGAAGATGTACTGAAGAGAACCCGAAGCGAAAGTCGAAACGTTTACCATTTTTTGATTAATAAAGAATTGAATTATACATCAATATCCTGTGTTGGCCCATACTAGAATTTACATCACTAGATTTAATTTTTAGGCCTATTGTTATTACTTTTGTTTTAAAGTTTCTATAAATAATCCTAATGTAGACGTTTAATATTTACATTCGCAGATAAAATGGGAGACTGCGACCGTGCTTTAGAACTGTGGAAAATTATGTGCACAAAGAATATCAAGTCTACCAAACAATTCGAGGAGAGTTTTATTCAATTTTTATTGTCAAATAAAATTTCGCTCCCTCCAGAATTGAACAAAATAAAAGTGAAATAAACATTAGTGATTACTAATTAGTGAATTTAAATATTAAAACTTTGGATCATTCACCACTACTACCTTAGAGTGTAATTGGAAGTGAGAAAATACAAAAATTTGTGTAAAATATATACAATATTCAAATAGAAATATTTTTGTTAAGATATTTGCAATCGAGAGAATAGACTTAAAATATATCAAGAATATATCTTCTTGTTTCGAGAAAAAATTAAATCACTTCATTCAATCATTTATTTCTATATATTATTAATTATAATTATATATATATTATGATCGTGAACATAACTTTTTTTCATTATTAATTTCCAGGTTAATTAAAGTAATCCTGGAAAGATGATTAAGTCATATTGAAAATAATATTTACACATAGACGAGTTACATGCCATTGACATATTACCATGATAACGCATACCAGACACACTTAAATTTTCGTATACCAATTACATTTTAATTAGGCTACGTTTAGATATTCACTGAAGGATCCACATAGTATGCTCAGTTTGGCCAAATTACGCCTACTTTTGCTCCGCGTTATCACTAAGTGCGTAATCTACCAACTGCAAAACATGGAACGGTATTCATAGTCCGTTTTTACATTAAAACCTTAAATATAATGTCTTAAATATAATGTTTTAAGATGTTAATATAGTCCTCGGATTGACTTAAGACAGTCTTAAATGTAAGAATCGATTATGAATATTCCACATCTCGTGCAAGAAAAGATTTAGTACCAACTTCATGACGCGAAACAGGTCGATATGCATAGTCGATTCTTACATTTAAGACTGTCTTAAGTCAATTTTAAAATGTCATAAATCAATCTTAAGATGGTTTTAATATAAAAACGAACTATGTATTTCTTCTGACATCATAATTTGAGAGAGTAGTGAATAAACAGGAATCTTAAGAACAATACGCGTCAGATAACGATAATCTAAAAATGCATAAAATAGCCAGATGATAGGAATTAAAATAAATTTAGCAATCTGTATAATAAAGTATGAGAAAATTTTTGAAATTCTGAGAATTTCTATCGTCTTATTTTTGACTACTATTCATATTCACTTTCGAATAAATATTATATTAGGAAATGAATATAGAAAAATAATATTAGTTATATCGATATAGTGTAAAGCATATTATCTAATAAAGAGATTTGAGATTCTCTCGGAGTAGTGCTCCATAACTATTAATTAGTTCAAAAGCTTTCTCTTTGATTGGTTCATAATTAACGCGCTCCTTTTCTTTAGCTATGAATTCCTCGATTTTTTTATTATCTTCTTTCAATTTTTCTAATTTATCATCTAGATTACTGATCTCCGGATAAATCGCATATTTCTCCATTCGCTCTTTAAGTTCGTTATATTCTGTATACAGTGACTTGAGCTCGTCCTCGCAGATTGACTCTTCGGACACCAGTCCTTCTCGTTCGGTAATTAATTCGTCCCGTTCGAGTTCATTTCGTGTTTTTAAGCCATCCAAATCCTCTAAGACAATTAATTCGCTCTGTTGTTTCTTCAGCTTCTCTTTCATCAACTTGGATTCTAGCTGCAGCTTTTCCTCTAGAATTCTTAATCTGTTGAATGTTTGTTGCATAGTTGCATAATCTTTCTTTAGCTCTTCAAAATCATCATCGCGATGCACGGTTTCGTAATTATTGTATGGAAATTTATCACGTAAAATAGCTGTTTCTTCAGCTTCCGTGAGGTACTCGTTATTCTCTATCGCGTTTGCCATGGTCTCTAGCTTATCAACAATCTCCTGTTCGAGTTTTTCCAGTTTCTCCATTTCCTCTTGTTTGCTCTGTTCATACGTGGACATAAATTCCTCCATCATCTCCTCGCGCTTACGCAATTCCTGATACTTAGTTTGCTTCTCTGATTGAGTATCCTCCATGTCAGTCTCCAGCTGTTCCAATTGTTGCTCGAGTTCTGCCACCTTTTTCTCTTTCTCAGCTATTTGCGCCTCTGTTGCAGCAATGTCAGTATTGTCACGCTTGATTTTCTGTAATAGTTGCTCCTTCTCATCTTCCGGTGATAATTTTTTACATTCTTCCTCCCGTAGCTTGTCCCGCTTTTCCTCTGCCTCGATGATTCTCACTTGCAGTTTCACCGCCTCTTGCTTTAATGGAGAGAGAGCGATTTGCTCCTCCAAACGCGCTTGCTCTTTTGATAGTTGGTCTAATTCGCGCTGCAATTGCTGTGCTTGTTCTTGTAATTCTGTTTTCTGTCGGAATAGATTATCGTACTTCTCTTTTATGGGTGGATCCATACTCTCAATGATATGTTCGGTCCTTTTTCTCTCATTCTCGATATCCTTTTCTGTCATATGCAGTTTTTGTTCCATTTGCTTCCGTTGCTCGAACATCCGCTCGACTTCTGCCGTCCTATGTTCATTCATCAGCGCCAGTTCCTTAGCCTCCTCTTCGATCACCTCCTTGCTCACATCCAGAGTCATTTTATCCACGACAAGATTGTAATCCGCTAATTCAGCCTGTAGATTCATCAACTCTGCGGCAAGGCTCTTGGCTCTCTTATCATAATGTAAGAAAGTAGCTTTCTCCTTGTTCTGCACTTCAATGTCCTTCATTATGATTCCGATCTCTTGCATCAATTCTCTTATTTTCAGCTGCAGCAGACCCTCGTAGTATCTCTTGTCTTGAATCTGCCTGAAAATTTGAAAAATTAATGAAATATGTACAAATATGTACCAACAGCGAGATTACGTAACACCATTACCTCGTCATTGGCAGACCTCTGGTGGTACCCGGTCGTATGCCTGCTATTCCATGCTGGGTAATTGGTCTATCCAACACATTGACGTTGAACTGCTTAGCAGTTGCTAGTCCTGTGCCAGAACGATTCAGTCCAGAGCCTATCCTGAATCCACCTGGAGCCGCGGTTGGTACACGATTCGATAAAAGAGATGCCGATGGTGGTCTCGCAAGAGCAAGGCGCCCTGGTGTTGCTGAACGATATGTAGCCGAATTGATATACTCCGACGATTCATCTTTATGTCCACGTCGAGACCTTGGTCGTTCAAACTTGCTTTGAGATCTCACGAAACCCGTCGGCGGCCTATCGATTTTATTCGAGGTAATAGACACATCCTCCTGGTTTTGTCGCCACCGAGTAACCAGCTGTTCTCCGATTTTACCGGAATCATTTTTTTCGGAATCCATTTCTCGAAAAAGAGATTCTCTCTTGGATTAGAATGTTAGATGTTAATCGCAAATTAATTGTTAAATTAAATGTTAAATAAGAGATGTCTGATCACTAAAAATACAGCTATTGACAACGCATTGTCTATGTATAGTACATATTAATGACAGTAATGACAAATTATCACGATACGAGGAATAACAACAAATCACAACGAACGCGATCAATGTTTTGTTCATTGTAGTCATAGAAACTGGTATGTATAGTTCATTGGATTTAGTGACTGCTTATAATTGTGTAGAATCATGCAAAACTGTATTGTGTTTTTACTAATAATAATGAATTTTTTTAGCAATTTAATTTTTATATAATCTATTTTGAAATAATATTCTTGGAATGAAAGAGGAGGAAAAATTGATTTATACAAGCAAAAAAAAGATTATACGAAAAAGATAATATTTCTTTATAAAGAACCTCGCTTATTTTGTGCTCTTCGCGTATATACCTATATACTTATCAATTGTATTCCATTTTGTAGATAATAACAGAACTATCAAAAATCATATAATTAATATGTAGGATGTTTCTTAAATAGCGGACACTAATCATATAGCGCTATTCTTAATTAAAAATTGAGTCGAAGTCCCCTACAATTTTGTAATTTCCGCAATGACAAAATATTAATTTCTAAATATTGCCGAATATGAGCGCGTATCCGATTGCTTAACCATTAACTATTACGAAAGTTGCAAAACGATAGAGGACTTTTTCGACTCAGTTTTTTATTAGGAATAGCATTATATATGATTCAGCAATCGCTTATTCGGCAATCTTTAGAAATTAATATTTTATCAATCATTGCAAAATCAATCATTACAAAAAGATAAAGGACTTTTTGATTCAATTTTGATTCAGGAATAATGCTATATGAAATGCTATATGATTATAAGTTTGCTATTTAAAAAACATAATAATAATGATCTTTAATATCATTGGTTATTATCTTTGGACTTTCGATAGATCTAATGTAGGACTAATAATCAATTATATTAAAGAATCATTAAGCGCTCACTGATTAATTTTCTCTGCGAACATAGCCAATGATACCAAGATGAATATATGACTTTTCAATGAAGGACGCGAAAATGTGCACGATGATAAATGGAGTGAGCGACCGTCTCTGGTTAATGACGAGTTGATGCGTGCAATTGAAGAGAAAATTAATTTAAAATCCTTCTTCCTTTGCTGGTCGGTGATTCCACGATAATGGCGAGATCAAAGAAGCTGTCACTACATGATTGCCTCACAGGCGATAACTTTCTACGACGAAGGGAGGGTCTCGTATAATAAATGCATTAACAACAGCGGCAATTATGTAGAAAAAGAGTATAAGATGTGTACTTTAAAAAATAAAATAATAAAAATTTTCTGTAAGTATATAGGAGAAAGTTATCTATATCGTATGCCTTAATATTTAAACAAAATTATAATAAAAATATCGAAGAAATCCAAATATTTCTGTACTTTCATCAAACTTTCATTCATTGGCAATAAAACAAAACAATATTTTTACGGAAATAAACATGGAATTACTGTTTAAATTAAGATTTTAAAAAAGTAACTTTTGATGGTACGATTTAAAAACTGGATCATTAAATTGTATTATTGAGTTTCCAAATCGTACTTCTAATAATCATCAATTTTTACAAAAAAGATCTAAATTTTTTTTTAATTCAACAAATAATATCTATAAATAATTTTTAGTAAGTTAAAAAAATTCAATACAAATATACTTTTTCTTGTATACTTTTACGAATATCAAAATATAGTAATTACAAAATTATTATTCAATTACTCAACATGTTATTTTATCTTAAATGTAGATGTAATTTAAAGACTAGTGACAAGTATTATTCAACTACAATTTTAGTACATTATTTTATCTTAAATGTAAGTACTTACAATATAAAGACCAGCAACAAATATACACGCAAAAGCTGATCAAAAATCCATGAAATATATATGTGAGTCTTTCTTTGTTAGTAAGATTGAAATGTTCTGTATATTAAATATGATATAGAATATTAATTAAAGCAAGACCTTTGATTTGCTCACTGCTTTGGCTATTGTTTCCTTTAGTTGTTGATAAAAATTGCAAAAGCTCCGTCATTACTTTATTTTGAGTCAAAATGTTTTGAAGCTTTGTAATTCAGTATGTAATGAATCAAAATAAGTGATTTTCACACTTTTATATTGTTTTAATGTTTCATTTTTTTTCTAAAATATCTAACATTTTCTCAAATGAATTAAGTAATCGATGATGTAATTCTAAGTTTTCTTTATGACGCCTCTCAATAGCTTCTTCCGAAATCTTTCGTCCATTTCGAAGATCTTCCATATATTCTTCTATAGTAGACATTTGCCGAGATTTTTCTAAATAAAACAAATAATATAATGTTATGTATTATCATATAATGTTATGTATTAATTAATGTTATGTATTAATTAGTGTTATCCAGAATTTGAGATTGAAATAATGGAAATAATGGAAATTTATATGTAATGAGCACTATGTGTTAAACAAATTGATAGAGAATTATTAAGAATGGAAGGATTTCTTTTAATTTTTTTAATTGTTTTTTATAAACTGTCAAGGTTCGTTAGCATTAGATGAACTCTATCATTGTATTCTATACGATTTATATTTTATAGGAAACTGATGATAAACATTCTTTATCGTATTCTATATTGTATATGGTTTAATTTACGATGAATTTGTGTATTAATTAATTTCTATCGTTATTTAATGAATAACACAGGGTCACAAAAAAAGTACCTGTGCTGCGATGGATTCGTTATAAAACGATAGAATCTTATAGAATTGATTTCTTACTTCAGCAATAGAAACTCATTGAATAAATTTAAAATTGATAACAATTTATTTTTATCATTAATATATGATCAATTAATTAAACACAGGCTCATAAAAAAAAGGACCCTGTCGCTGAATATGTATTTGACAAAATAGGATCATACAGAGTAAATTTTCAATCTAGAGAGAAAATGGATCATTTTTTTCGCTCTAGATTGATAATTTACTTTGGATGGTCTTATTTTGATGTCAGATTCATATTCAGCGACTCAAAATACATAAGAATAGTTGAGTTTCCACCCTAGTACAGGGTACTTTTTTTTTAGTGTAATTAATCGATATCATATATTAATATCATATATTAATGATATTGGGAGTACAAATTAGTTCGGTCCGTTCAAAAATGCATTTATTCAAAACAAAATGAATGAACAGATCAATTAAAATATTGTCTATCGCTGCCTACTACTTTTTCCCATCTCTCAGGCAATTTTCGAATTCCATATCGAAAAAATGACTTGTCTTTGGAGGCGATCCAATTTTTTCTATGAAAGAAGTGAACCGGTGACTTGCTGCATCCTTCAGAACAACCAGTAATCAGAAGGAGCAATGTCCGGAAAATACGGCAGGTGCGGTAAAACCTTCCATTTGAGCATTTCCAAATATTTTTTTACGACTTTAGCGACATGAGGCCGAGCCTTGTCATGAAGAAGAATAACTTTATCATGTCTGCTCATATTCTAGCCGTTTTTCTCGCAATGCACAGCTCAAATGAATCAATTGTAGCCGATACTGATCGTCCGTAATGGAAGATTTCAGTAGCTTTCGTCAGGTTTCAGTAGCTCATAGTAAACAAGGCTCTTTTGGTCCCACCAGATACAGAGCATAATTTTCGAACCATGAATGTTCGGCCGTAATGTTGATGTTGAGGTCGATGGCAACAATTGATCGGGCTTAGCGTAATATTTTTTCTTCTTGAGGTTGTCATAGAATATTCACTTCTCATCTCCACACAACCCGATGCAAAAAACTTTTTCTCTGTTGTCTTTGAATCAGCTGTTTGCAAGTAAAAAATCGCCTTTCAACGTCTCTCGATTTCAGTTAATAAGGCACCCAATTTCCTTGTTTTTGAATCATTCCCATGGCTCTCAATTGTACAGAAACGGCTTGTTGAGTTATCCCCCAATGATTCTGTAAGCTCCTCTTGCGTATGACTCTGATCTTCTTCGAGTGATGCCTCTAATTCTTTGTCTTCGAATTTTTTTGGCTGTCCAGAGCGAGGCTTGTCTTCAACGTTGAAGTCTCCATCCTTGAAACGTCGAATCCATTCCATGATTTATCAGTTGGAGCAGTGCCACCATAAACTTCGACAAGCATTCGATGGGCTTCTGCACTTTTCTTCCAATTAAAACAGAAAATCAAAACCTCCCGCAAATGCTGCTTAGTTAACACAAAATTCGACATTTCAAACACAGTAAAAATCAAGGCTTTTGTATGAAACTCAAAGCGATATAAACTGAATATTATTAGCAGATGTTAACCTCTCTGAAACCGCCAAAATCAGCTGTCACTATGAACCATTCACAACAGCTGAAGCCATCTTTAGGAAAACGGACCGAACTAATTTGTACCCAATAAAAATAAATTATTATCAATTTGAAATTTATTCAATGAGTTATTATTGATGAAATAAGAAATCAATTCTATAAGATTCTATCGTTTTATAACGAATCGGAAACTTATCAGAATGTATATAAAAAAATACAAACAAAATTTCGTAAATTTTCATCTGACTTTCCAGAATAATATTTACACAATTTATCGTAATTTCACTATACAAAATGAAATCAGTACTAATATAATATTTAAGTAAGACATTCTATCGGAATGTCTTACTTAAATATTATATGAATTAAGAAACTAAGTTTATAAGATTCCATTTTTTGATAAATTAAACAATTTAGAATGTATATATGAAAAATACGAATGAAATTTGCGGAAGAAGTACAAATGAGGTGCAGAAAAGGTACGAAAATGATGCGAAGAGATACAAAAGTGCAAAGAGTGATACGAAAGACATACAGAAGAAGTGTGAAAGTATTGCGGAAGAAGAAAAACAAAAAAGATATAGAAGAGGTATGGATGAAGTGCGAAAGAAATGCGGAAAAGATGTGGAAACGATGCGAAAGTGGTGCGGAAGAGATATAGAAGAAATGTTGGAGGGATACGGAAAAAATGTTTTCGACAGCAAATAGTAAATTCACCAAACTTATACGGGGAATTGAATAATACTTGAATGCCACATTGTCTAAACAAGCATACGATTATAGCTTAAGATTAGCGTATTAAGTTATCACTTCATAGATCTTAGGTTCAAATCCTGTTGATATCCCATATGCATTTTCAAAAAAGTATATATATCCTTGCTTACAAGGTCTAATAGAATCAAATAAGAAAAAACTCTATCTAAGTGAATCATGTTTTTGGTTTGTAAATTTCAGATTACTCTTTCAGATCTGAAATATTTGATAGATTTTTTATATTTCTATATATTTTCGTTTTTATCGGCTTAGATACGTTTTTAATTAATTTCTACTTGGTTCACTAGATAGAAATTGATTAAAAAACGATACAAAAGTACCAAAAATATTTTAGATAAATAATTTGGAATTTATAAATCTAAAATACGATTCAATTTCATAGAGTTTTTTCTTCTATCTGATTCCATTGGACTTTTGAAGCAAGAGTTCATGCCTATTACCTTAATTGCTGTTTCCCTTATCCCTGTTGTCTAATGTAACATACTACAAATAGATAAGAAGACTACGAAGTGAAAAGTAGGGAAGGAAATAGGCATGAACTTACTATGAATCAGCCTTTTGTCTTCGAAACAAGTACTTAGACTAGATGTACTGCATTCAGAATGTGCTTTACGTTTTCTTTCAATCGATGATACTGTTATTAGTGGTGATGTACATGATTTTGAATGAAGTAATTCATCCATATTCTAAAAAAAAGATTCATTTAAGATATGTTTTTTTGTAAGAATATTAAAAAATAATTATAAACGCTTTCCTTAATAATCAAATTAATTGATTAATAACTAATAAGAACTACTGTCATCACAGATTCAGATACAAAGTTAAAAAATTTCTTTTTATCTTAATATTTTTAGATAGCTATTAGATTGTATTGAATATTAACTTAATAACTTACAGAAAAATATGGCCATACTATAGATCTAGGTTTTCTGTTGCTTTCTTTAATACCATTATAAGTTCGTTTCAAACCAGTAAACTTAGACAAACATTGTGGTCCAGTTACATTATATCCATGTTTTTTTATTTTATCTGCGATTAATGACCATATCTTCTTGTGTGACATCTTTCCATTGATAAAATCTTCTTGTCGCAAATTATATTCTTCGATCAATAAAAGAATCGCTTTATGAGGCCATTTAAAAACTGTAAATACAAATTTTTTTTAATTCAAAAATTACACTTGTTACATAAAAAAATATTGTTAAAAATACCTCCAATATTGTCACTATGGTCACTATGTAAAGACTCTGCATGATTTATTTCACTTATGCTCTTATCTAAATAAAAACAATCATATAATCAGAAAATCTATATAAAATATTATCTTTATGTATCATACTAAAGCTGTTCTCTAAAAAAACATTAAATGTATCCTATTTATCATATTTCTCCTCGTTTAGCTTTGTAATTGTAAAAAAAATAAGAATTTAAAAATAAGGAAAAATAAATTTAAAAGCACAAAAATTAGAAAATATTTCCTTGAATCCATAAAGCGCATGTTGCGTGTGGTAGACCATTTTTTTTTTAACATTCGGTAAATAAGGCGAAATGATACATCAAGCGCATCATGTGCTCTTCGGATCATTATTAACCGATTTTGCAAAATGACAACAATTGATAACCTTAAATATTTTGCAATAATAATTCCGAAAAGAACATTAAAAAATGAATAAATTTACCTGCTCCTAAACATTTTGCTTCTTCTTCAGTCAATAAAATAGTGTAAATTTCATCGTTTTCTATATTCTTAAGAAAAATAGTTTTTTTCATTTCGTTAGAATCCATGTTTTTGGCTGCTTTATATACTTTTATCACGTTCCTATGGGTACGGTTAACACTATGCCGCAAAACTTTGAAGCGTTTTTTAATTGGTTAGTTTGATTGGTCAATCAATTGATTGATCAATCAAAAATGCTTTGAAGCATTCATAGTATCAAATGGACCATAGCCCTAGATTTAAAAAGCGCAACTGGTATTAAGTATTCTGATTGATTGCAATCAGAATGTTTCTTAGCAGCCAATCATGAACTGATTTCTGTTTATTAAAAATGGCTGCTTAATGGATGATTAGTAGATTTATTGTCGTTCGATTAAACTCTCCGGATTAAACTCTCGGTGGAAAGTTAGGCCATTATTATTAATCTGTAGGTACAAATTAAAATCATGTTGTCTAGGGGTTTTTGTTAATACCAACATTTTCCAATCTAGTTTTTCGGGAAAATGTCAGTCGTTCCCATTTGGGGTTGGATAATGTTCTACTATTGGCTGTGTTCAGCGGACTCAACAGTTGAGTGTTTACTGCTATTAATGTATATTCTTCCAGATCTAAAATATTAATTGAATGATCCGGAAGAATGCACCAATAATAGCGAGCGCTCATTCAACTGTTGAGTTCACTGCCATTGATTGACGTTACAAGTTCCACTAATAGGAGAACATATGTTTAATCATAATAATAAACATTAATTTAATCTAGGTTGATGCAAACCCGGTCCAGTCGAATACGCTATAGAACTCCAGTCTAGTCCAAAATCCTGGGGATTGAGTCTGTATCTTGAAATGAGATGAAAATGATAAAAGTGAGCGAATTTACTAGAATACTTATTTCATTGGTCAACATAGTGATACAATCTAATAAATTTGCTCACTTTTGCAATTTTCACCTTGTTTTGAAGATACAGAATCGATTCCCTGCTCATTAAGTGACAATCGACAGCGTGCCGTCCATTTTTTCTATTAGCGAGTTGGCAAGACTGCGTGGGAATGACTCACCTTTCTTATTCCACAATCCACCATGCCCGTGAGACGGCCATCTCCTACTTTCCTCCTCCCCTCCTCGTCCCGTTTGTTTACGCACGAGATCGCGTCGTGTCGCGTGCGTGCGTGCGTGTTGCGACTTGCGACTCTACGCCGTCTACGGTGGTTGCTCGTGCAATACCGTCAATACCGTGCCGTATCGCGTCGTAACATATCGCGATAACGGCATGCCCAGCAAGAAGAAAAAATACAACGCTCGTTTTCCAGCGGTAAGCGAATCCTCTCCGTTTTATCCTCCCCATTCCATCCGGTCCCATTCCGTCGCGGAGCGCGCGTCGATGACGCGAAGAGACGGGGAGAGAAAGAGAGAACGTGGACTCCGAACTTGGAGCCTGCTCGTCGTCTCGACTCGCGTCTCCGATGCCTATTACCGCAATGGAAAAACGTGCTTTGCTTTTTTACGAATGTCGCAATCCGACATATATTAGTGACATAACCTAAACCTAAATCCCGCATGTCTGTTGTCAGGGTCGTATCAAGAAGATCATGCAGACAGATGAGGAGGTTGGAAAGGTCGCCCAGGCAGTGCCAATCATAATCTATATCCTTTTCCTATAACTCTCTCTCTCTCTCTCTCTCTCTCTCTCTCTCTCTCTCTCTCTTTTGTATTTTGCACCTTGGCTGTGACAGTGTTTGTATCCATATGTCAAAGCCATCAAAGGTAATACTATATAACATTGTACGATATAATAGGTGAAACAAAAATATCAAAAAGAGACAGTTGGTTAACAGAGTGGTTGCTGGAGAAGGAAAAAAAAGAGATCTTTTACCTCAACAGATTTTGAATTTTAGCAATATCCTAGAGCAATATCCTGATATTTTTCTCATATTGTCTACAGCTTTGAAAAGTGGGATTAGATTTGCTTAGGCGATGAGAGTTTTAGAAAAAGAATTATGTTACCTAAAATATGCATAAAACATGCAAGGTATAGTAAAATACATTGTTGACAGAAGAAAATCAGAGAACCTGAAGATTTTGAAATGAAAAGCCATCAGTGACATGATAAACGTTATCAAGCTGGCCTAACTGCAAAATATGTGGGCCAAATATAGAAATATTATAAAAGAGAGTTGCAGAATAATTTTCTAAGAAACTCAAGAAAGCCCTAGATCAGAGTACCCTAACAGTATTGATTAAGGAATACTTTGATATTTTTCTTATATCTTCTTAATAATATTCTTTATCTTTGAGGGTATTTTTGGAGGATATATTGTTTAATAAATAACAATTCATTAATTTTCTTTCTCTCGTGAGCATGAATTCTCATAGATTTGAGATAACAATAGAGAATATATTAGCTTTATTTACCATGTTTATCAAAGTTGGATTATTCCTTAATGGAGCTTACCTAGGACCTTAGAACTATTTGTGCACTCCTTATTAACCAAGACCATGCAGATCACGAGTGCCAAAAATGCCAAGACTCTAAGTCCATCTCATATGTGAGTAAACAGCAATATCATTGTCCAACTTGTCAAAGTTTGCCTTATCGCTCATTTACTGCAGTAATAACTCAACAATTATTTTTTAATTATTTGCAAAGAAAAGAGAACTTTTATTTTTCTACAATCAATTATTACAACAAAATATTATACAACAAAATATTATATTTAAAAATATAAATTTTAATGAAATGAATTAAAACATTCAAACTTACTGTTTTGGAAAATTTTTTGTTATCGATTTTATTGATTTTCATTTATTTTTTAAGTTTTTGTCATTGTAACAAATAGATGTTATATTTATGATGCTGTATTTCTAAAATATTGTTCACAATACAATACAATACAATAAATGTTTCTCTATTGCCTGTATTCATAGTCAGGCCCTATATTTAAGGCTTCCTTAAGTTTATCTTCAGATGCTCTGAGAATTACTTTATTATTATTGGCTACTGAGCATCTTTAAGGAAGCCTTAAATATAAGGTCTGACTGTGAATACGGATAATATGTCTGTATTCTTTTATGAATAATGTGTATATCTCTTGGATCTGTATTCATAGTCGTAGATCGATCCACAATTAATCCTCATTTCAGTAGGGGTTTATTCTGTAACTTTTTAACAACAATTTTACTGGCTGGGATGTTATTGCACAGGTATTTTACATGGTGAAAAAACTGCGCATCGACAATGATACCGAACTACCGTTAAAAGTTACAGAGTAGGCCCACAGACAAGCTAAGTTTGAGCCAAAGTTTGAACCAATCAGATTTATTAAAACGTGATTAGAGAAGTGTTTTTCACATGAAAGTCTGAAACCTAGTTCAAATTGGATATCAAGTTGAATCACGACTATGAATATGACCCTTGGTGAGCTGATGAAAAAACAATTTTAATTACAAATATTTGAAGTAAAAGAATTTTGCATAGCATCTGCTATAGCTTATTGTTTATAGGAAACAGTGTATCCTATCGGAAAGCCGATTCGACTTTCTAAAAGATCTAGTGAAATCTCTACCTGATGTGTCGGGACCTGATGACGAAGTACCTATGTCACCAGAAACATCGCAAAGCAATACGCCAAATACAGCCACCGCGTGTTCGACGATGATGCAGCATTTCGATCCGTTAGAGTGAGTCTCTGTGTTTGATTTGCCCGTATAAGAATTTTTCCAACAATCACGATGCGTATTTCTCTAGATATCAAAAGTATCTGGGATTACCAGTTAGCACCGAAATGAATGTAAACCACAAGAGCACAAGAGATAATGGATCGAGCATAATTTCGAGCAATTTGAATCCCGCTAATCAAAGGGCCGCGACGACAGTGGGCGGGCACTCGCAAATTCCGGAATTCCACATGTCTGTACCTACGGCCTTCCAAATTAGTCGACCAAATTTTTATACGGAGCTTAACCCGAGTGTGAGCGATCAGCCAACGTCAAACTTTGCTCGTACCGCCAATATTGACGAGGATTACGACACATAGTAATCCGTTCGCGAAATCTAGGATGTTAAAAAACTTGTCTTGTTGAACGTGTGACGCACGAATTATGCATTGAATATATATTGAAGTATGATAGAAAAAACGCGTATACACGCAAAAATATCTTTCAATTGCTCACTTGTAAATTAATATCGTTTAATGCTTTCAAATTTAAACAATTTCTTATTTGGTCACACATTTATTATAAATAGAATATTTTAGAGCTATAATTGGAATTATTTATCTCATTTTTTTTATCTATGTTAAGATTTAAATAAAAGGAGAAAACTGTCGCAAATAAATGTTCCCCATTAAATCATTGTTTACAGATATACGTTAGTTTTATAAAGCTAGCAGGGCCAAATCAGCAGGATCAAATCGGACCTATCAGAATTTTTAGTACTCATTTTGTACTAAATTATACCATTAATGATAATTTTGTATCGTATACCATTTCGAAAAAAGTTGTGGCGCTGCTAGCTTAATATTAAGCTGGCAGAACCAATTCAAAATAAAAAAAAAATATATCAGTAAGATCAAAAATATAATCAATACGATTGAATTTGTACTATTTTGTACTGCCAAAAACAATTCTATATTATGTGTCATTTCCAAGAAAATAGTGATGCTGCTTTAAGATTTAAGCTGGCAGGATCATAAAAATAAATAACACAAGGGCAAAAATTAACACAATTGAATTTGTACTAATTTTTACCATTGAAAAGTTAATATTTTATATTTTTTTCCTTAAAATGACTTTCCAATTTGATTCTGCTGATTTGATCTTGTTATTTTTATAGAACTGTATGTACGTTGGCCTTTTCCACGCCATTACGTTATAAAATTACGTAAAATATTTGATTATCACGTCAAATTTAGTATTTCTAATAATTAAAGTAACATTTGTTTATAAGTTATATGTGTTTATAAGTTGTGTGTGTATGTATAATATAATATACAATATCTTTTTACAACTATATTATTTCATGTCGATTTGTACTTTAGATATCTGTATTTACGTATTTTATATATCTTACTTTTTTTTTTCAAGATATATTTTCAATAATTAGGTAGATAATAAGTAAAAGACAGAGAATTGT